GTGCCCTGATCCAGGTCTGGGAGGAGATCCCCCAGGACACCATCCGCTGACTCATCAGGAGCTGCCCAGACGGTGTCAGGAGTGAGTATAGGCACACAGGGGCCATACTGAGTCACAAGTTGCTCTGATAAAACACGAGTTGGATAAGCCTGCGGTTTCAATTTTTTACTTTCATTTTCGGGATGAGTTTGAATCCTCGGTGGGTTGATGATTTTGGTTTCCATTGACTGTTGTAGCATCATTTTTTTTTCTTAACAATTTATACAATGTACATCATTAGAGATTTTCAGCTTGAATAATTTGTTCATCAAGACCTAATATGTGATTTAAGTGCTCCCTTAATTTTTTTGAGCAGCTTATTAACAAGTCGGGTGCCTTACACTGATAAAGTGTGTTTGGTGTGATCAACCCTTTACTCTGTCTCATTCAGCACACTCAAGGCCTACTGAGCCTTTCTCAGCAACCTCTGGGTACTTTTTGGTCCGGGCGGGGGGGGAGGGAGATCTCTCTTCCCTTCAAGTTGAGTGATGGTTTATTCATTTTTCCATTCACTCAAATATCTGTGTCTGTGTAGCTGTAACTCTATCTCTTGGTCTCTCTCCTTCTCCCTCTCTCTCTGTCTCCATCCTTCTCTCTACCCCCTCTCTCTCGCTGTCTCTCGCCCTGTCATTCTCTCTGTCGCTCTCTGTTACCTGCTCCTCAGGTCACCGGGAAGTTTCGCGGCGGAGTCAATCCCTTCACGCGAGGTTGCTGTGGCAACGTACAGTATGTTCTGTGTAGTCCGTTAGCTCCCAGGTAAGCACTGAGCTCTTTTCTGTTGAAAGTGGGGAGGTGGGTGGAAGTTAAATTGAGGTCACCGGTTTTGTTGACTGTCAGCATGGACACGGTGAGAGTGAGGTCACCGCAGCAGCTGCCAGCTTATAACTGTGCAGTAGGCCACGAACTCATTTACTTTTATTTTTTTCCAAGGTTGTTAATGTCCTTTGTAATTACCATTGGGGACCACTAGGAGGCAGCGTAATGGTTTTGTTTTGCTATTGCGAGAAGGCGGTGGAGCTACGAAGCGCAGGCATGGCAGATGGCCATTCTAATTTAATCACTCCACTGAGCGACAGTTCAGGGGAAATGAGCCCAGAGTGTGTAGCATGGGTGTCGGGGAGTGGCAGCCAGATCCACTGTGCTCCATATTTAGGAGCCGTGACCGGAGATTCTCAGCCAAATTAGGGGTGAGAACATGTTGCAGTTGAACAGTTTATTAAGTGTAGCACCGCTGCAGCAACACTGATGTGATGAGCTCGCTTCATGTGGATGCGTTCGCTATAATTAAACGTGTTTGCTGTCAAACTGAAGTGAATAAACAAAAAAGAAAAAAAGATTGCTCAAATTTCAAGGGTGCTTGCAAACCTTCACTGTCTCAAATTATGTTTTTGTTATTTTATGTGGCATACTGGTAATCTGGGAGTGCTTAAAAAAATTTGAAAAAAAACTCGAATGATTCAATTCCATGCATGTGAAATACCCAGTTTTGACTGCTAAATTAAATGAATTAATAAACATGTTTAAGGTCATGCTGCCATTGAATTGATAGCACTAGTACTTTTAAAATTAGTTGTTTGTTAACCATATACCTGTGTAAACCATTGAACCAATCAATGGATCCAAAAAAAAAAAAATGTTTGATTGACGGAACAATATGTTACCGTGGTTTCAGACAGCTTGGGCAAATGATGTATAGTTTGAAAGCTGAACTTCCCAGGATCTCATATATAAACTTAAAGCAAATGTGTTCTCATTTGCTTGCAGCTAGGAAAACAGTTTCTCCAGAAACCCCTGGAAGGAAAAGGTTAAATGTGTACATTCATACATCAGCCAACATATGTGCTAATTTTAGTGTAAGAGGTGGCGGGGGAACGACATTAGGGTGAGCCTCCAATGGGCATGGGGCAGGAATGCAGACTTGGACAGTTTGCCGCGTCCATTACAGGCAGAGTAGTGTATTCAGATACCATTCATTCACACACACACTCTTACCAATGGTCAGTTTACGGTGGGAAAAAACCCTGAGTGGATGGAAAATTCTTCTGAAGACAAACAGAGAGCATGCAAACTCTACACGGGAAGGCCCAGGCCAGATACAAATCCACAATCATTCCTTGAGGTATATGCAGATTAGATATAACTATAGTTTTACTTACTGCTCTACCGCATAGAGCTGAGGTGGGGTTCATGTGAATGTTGTTTTGTCTTTGGCTTGTGCATTCGCTGCCAGGAGCTTTTTTTTTTTTTTTGCACCCTTATAAATAGATTTGTTTATAAATGTGGATCGTCTCGTCTCACACCGGAGTAATCTTGTTAGTGGGATACAAATAGATGTGTGCAGTCTCAGAGGAGAGGGAAAATTGGATGTGGGGTCAGTTCATTGGTCATTCTGCTGTCAAAGTGTCACAAAGTAGGGCGTCTGGGTTGGCTTGCGCTCAGTAAGAGCACTGTTTGTGTTGCAAGGTCTCCGTTTCCAATCAAGTGCGGCCATGCCCGTTCCAACTGTGGCTTGCAGGTTCTTGTTCTTAAGAGCAGAAAATAACGGCTCGGTGCTGCTCAGGAATATGGAGGGATTACAGTCGGTGTCGGTCAGCATAATTGGTCGCTCAACTGCCTTCTATTGGCCATCCAGGAGCTGATTGGTTGCTTTCTGAGCAAGCTCATGTTTAGGTTTGCTTTACCCTCCGTCTGTGGATGCTAGGACTGTGATCATGAGTCAGGAGAAGTGGCGGCAGACAGGCGCATGTTTTGGTGGAAATTGTTGGATGTAGTTGGCAGTAAGTGGGATATTCACTTTGCCGAGATTGACGTGTATCTTGTCACTCATCACCACCCCCTACAGGTCAATCGGGCACCCACTGTCTGCCTCCTAAAACTACATGTGAACTGCCTTCCTGTGTCATTTTCTGGTGGATTTATTAGCTTCTGTCACACTGTACACCAGGGGGATCATCAACTCATAGTACTAAAGGGCTGAGAACTGCTGGTTTTTCACTGGGACTCAGGTGTAAGGACAGCCTTGCCAATCAGAAGCACTGATTGCTCAGGTAATTAGTTCATTACCTGAGAAGCAAGAAATAGCACTTGGTTTGGATTCAGGGGCCACATTTTGTGATCCCTGCTGTGCAAAATCAGTCTAACAGAGGCCATAATACCATCGTACGGTGACTCGCAATGTTTTTCTTAACTTCTTTAGTTGACAACATTCACCCACGCCTATGATGTACAAGGACACTCAGCTCACATAGAACTGACTACGGGCCACCCTTTGGTGGTGTCAGTCGAATCCTTTGTGATGTCACTTCCCTTTCCTCAGATACTTGCTGGACCCCAGGAAGAAACCCCACGTGTCCGTCCAGCCCCCCTTCCTGCGGCCCGACCTGTCGGAGCGACGGCTGTCCATCAAAGTCAGCGACAATGGGATCCACGGCAGCATTATCCGCACCAAAGTAAGGGTCATTCCATAATTCCTGCACTGGGTACTCTGCCATCCGATAATCTCCTCATTGGGTACTCCGGCATCCCATAATCTCCTCATTTGGTACTCTGGCATCCCATAATCTCCGCATTTGGTACTCTGGCATCCCATAATCTCCGCATTTGGTAGTCCGGCCTATTTGACAGAAGCAGACGTCCACTTGGGCTATTCAGTTTCGACTCAGAATTTCTGCTCTTTTTGATTTGTTCGTTTTCCCTATTGCCTCGCGCCTACCAGAGTAACAGCCCAATGGATCGCTGTGGTGACCGTAGCTTGTGGAATATTGTGTTGGGGTCTGTGCATGCTCTATGAAAGTAAGCTCCTTGGAAGGTCAGCAGACGGGGGTCGACTGCAGGCTCGTGTTTACGCATCAGTTTGACGAGGGGGTTGAGGAATCATTGTTGTCACCTGTGTCTTCCTCCCATTGGCTAGCTGGCCAGATCTGCCCCTGGATGTCAATTCTGAATAAGAACACCAGAAAGAGTTTGGCAATCTCAGACTTCCAGATCATGAATGTATTGAATCTACTGTGGGGAGCTACATGCAATTACAAGACTCTGTGGTCCCCACAACGTCTGTGCTCCTACATTCCTCATGGTCCGAGCAACACAAGGGCTCTTGGTTGTTTTAAATATCTGTTTTAAAATCTTAATACCCTGGTTTAAGGTTAAGAGGCTAAAAAAAGCTTTTGTTTTCTAGAGCTGCTCCTGAGAAACGAGCATGAAAACATGAAAATATTTGCCAGGACAATTTGCCGGAGCATATTACAGAAAATGAATACATTCGCTGTCTGACAAGGTTACCCAATTAAAAGCCTGTAGTGTTTATTTTTTGTACTACGAATATTGTTTCTCATACAGTGTGGCATAACAAGGGAACACTGCGCATCTCTTTAAGTGTTAAAATGTCTAATTTAAAACAGTTCTGAACTTGTTGTTCTTTCAAGAGTCGCAGTTAATGGTTGTAAATGGAAAACTGAATCAGGCAGAGGGAACTAAGATCAGGGTACTAAATAAGCTGTGCTGTAGGAGATTGTAGAGCGCTATGACAACCATAGAATTATAAACAGTAGAACGGATCATGTCATACGGTTCTTGTGGTCTGGAATGTGCTAGCAATGGATGTAATCTTGGGTTAGATTGAACTCCTTTTGTGAATAGCGATGAGGTATTTAAGGTGTGACCATAGAATTTTACGCAGATTGGCCAACGGTAGCAAGCAGATGGTGAAGTCTTATGGTTGACAGTTTGACACTGGGACGGAATCTCTAAGTCCTGAGTTTGATCCTCACTCAGGTTCAGATTTTCTGACCCAGTCTTGAGCAGTGTTGGTATAAATGATCAATTTATCCTTGATGATGACTCCAATATGGAATCAAAACACTGTCTTCAGAAAATTAATTGAACTTCCAAATGTTCATTGTGACAATACGTCATGTGCATTGTGGTCTTGAGAGATCAAACTTACTAGCTACTCTGAACTTGACTTGGTCGCTCAGTTGGTAGAGCGGTGGGACAGAATCTCTTAGTCATGACTTCGATCCTCATTTGGGTTCAGATTTTCTGACCCAGTCTTGATCAGTGTCAGTATAAATTGTCAGTTTGACTCTGTCATGTAATAGCACAACCCCCCCATTAATGGAACTCTATTCGCTACGCTTTTTTCCAAGGTTAATCTAAGGTAATTATCTTCAAAATATGTACATTCTACTTCAGATCCCCCAAATGCTGAACTAGCCTGTCTTTTTCCAAAACTCTTTTTTGCCATTGCTGATGACCCACAATCTAATTACTTAAGAGTATTTTATTTATTGATGATTTATTGGTTACACCCCAAATGGGGGAGCGACTTTCCTCACATAAGAGCTAGCAATGTGTTTCATACTGGTGTTGTATGTTAATGTTACATACTGCATTGCAATTGCTGTACTAATTATCTTAACCCCCCACCATTCTTTTCATCTCTGATTAGTCCAAAGGGAGTCTTGACATGCTGGATGACAAATCTCTGGAAATTGGCCCCCCATTGCCCCCCCAAGGCTGACAAATACAGTGAGCTCAAGAACCAGCTGACCTCCAGTGAAGGTGAGTGCAGTTATCTCTTAAGCAGGGTCCCCACTTTGACGATCTATAAGCCGACATGGGCCGAGCGAAACCACACGCTAAGTCTTCCTAATTCTTACTAATGTCTTATTAAAGGTCCCCTATTATGCCATCAGGTGTACTGCTTAATTAGCCATTTTGAGCCAGTTCAACGTCTCCCCTTCCTGACATCACAAAGGGAAGTGACCACCCACAATAATGAAATCTGATTGATTGCTTGGCTGAAACTGATCAGTTCTTCAATGGGTTACTTCCCGTGTGATGTCAAGAGGGGAAAGATTTTGAAATGGCTTGTAATAACTAATTGGCTGTGCACCTGGTGACAAAATGGGAGATCTTTAATGTCTTGCGATATGTCGGGCTGCATCTGGAGTGGTCCTTATCAATAAGGCGGTGCCACAAAACACGCCAACAAATTTCAAAATGTTCAGTGTCTTAGATGTGACATATCGTAATGACGTTGTATTGATGTCGACATCTTGATAAATCTTACGATGTCATGAGTGCAGAAATTGACTCCCGAATCACGAAGATCCTTCACTGCCTATCCCGATGTGGCACGATAAGTCACCACACCAACAAGATGTAAGCAAGACATTTACAAGAAGTTATCAGGAATCCATTAAGAACTCCCAAGAAATTGCGTTTCCACGCGACACTGACGTCGTGTACATATCTTTTGTCTTGTTAACGCCTTGGTGATATGGCAGCCCTGTCTTACTGATTTCGTGTTGATGTCATAAGACATCGTGATATTCTTGAAGAGTCTTGAAACATGTACATCGCGGTAGGGTCTTGGTCATGTCTTACTGGTGTCTTGTGACATTGCCATGACGTCATGGCAGTGTCGTGTTCGTGTCATGGTGGTGTCTTGTGCATGTGCGCAGCGGAGGGCCTTCAGAGCCGAGGCACCACTATCTCTATACCATGACTGATTGGCCCAGGTCAGCTGATACTGTAGATCGTCAAAGTGGGAGCCCCGCTTTACTGACCACGGCTCTGATGCTAATGGAATGTCTTGCAGTACACTGAAATAATGTAACTTAATAAATTGAAAATGATTTTATGTATATTTTATCTTTATATTTTCCTAGGTATTTACAGTATTTAACAGGATATTGCATTTGTGTAAGAGCTCATCCATGCTCTCAGTGAGGATCACGGTCTTATCTTCTGAGCAAATACAAATACAACAAGTACAACCACACACATAATGGTGTGTGTGTGTGTGTGTGTGTTTGTTAGCTTTGATCCAATTATCTTTTCCCCCTGGCTCATCAGGATAACAATATATTACACACAAGGCTTACTTTACATTACCTCTTCTCTAGGGAAAGCTCAATCGTTTCATGAGCAAGGAAGAGATCTGTAATTATTGTGTGATATTTAAATGACTCGGCTAAACCGAACGCAGTATTTGAATATTTAAATATTGTCATCACATCTGTAAACCCACCTCCCTTCTCCTTCTCTTGTCAAAGAATCCCTGACTTGACCTCTATTATGAAGCCTTTTTGTTTTTCTATGGCTTCCTGTTCTCAGGGTGTTGCTCATTGTGATTATCGCAGCGGCGACGTGTGACGTGAGGGTGACCTGGTTTCGTGTATCTGCTCCAGATTTATAAAGCCTGTAGGGGTGGAGGTGGTGGTGGGTTGAAGGGTGGGGAGGGGGTAGATGCTAAGAAGAGATGAAAGGGGAGGGGTCTCAAAAATTAGCTTTCGAGGCAGACATTAGTGAGCTTGAGAGGATCGTTTCACCATTCAAATCTAAAGCCAGCTGCGTATCATCACAGAGTTAGAATGTTACAAGGCTACACTCAACAACCAAAAAGCTGAGTCTGAGGTTTTGAAATAAACCTGGAAAACCAGGGTGTGCTGATTATGGATTTTCTTGTGCATTTGTTGGAACTGGAGTAGATCAAAATAATGGAAGGCTTCTAGTCTGGCTCGCTTAACTGCTGCTGTTTGAACGATTTTGTCATTCATTGAAAATGTATTGTTTTGTCTTTTTGGGAATGAAACTATTCTTTTTTGGGGACAAGTCATTTTGGGAATTTGGAGGCTTCATTCAAGCTTTATCTGTCTCAGGTCCTCTTCCTGAAGAACTGTTCAGTCTCCACACTGCAAGATACAATTTAAGCGCAGACGACACGTTGTGATTTTATTGCCACCCAGTGTTTAATTGTGGTACTGCTCCTGTTATGTCTTCCACCCCACTTTTTTCTCGCTGCGCTAGTATTGCTTTCTTATCTCACTAGAGCCTCCGAAACTTGAGAATCCTCATGAGTACTGTGAAGATTGCTATGAATTTACAGTCAGTGATATGCAAAACAAGTAAATATTTTTCTCGGAAGGGACATATTAGTGTAGTTTGGTTATTATTACAGAAAGTTCTTCTCTGTTTGCGGTGCAGTCTGCCTTTAAATAGATCCTTGTCTGGGATGACTCACATAAGCATGCATGGAAAGGCTTTTGGCAATGATTTATTGTCAGATTATGAGGATAGAGATAATGAGTGCGAATGTCAAGATGTGAGTGTTCATGAAGGGTCATGTTTAGTTCTCCAGGGCCTGTGCATTTGTGACTCCTTGCTCTGTCTTCCAATACAGAGAGCTCCCTTTCGTCCTCCAAGGGACTGAACCCCTCAACTCCCGCCATGTATAAACACCGGCCGTCCTTCGGTACCATTCCCAAAGTGCACTACCATGGCACCGAGGTGAAGGTCAGTACACCAAGACTGGGGACTGATTTCATGCTGGGCCATATTGTTCATTTTCTTTTTCTGACATTTGCATGACAATATATTTTCAGTTGTTATTAAAGACCAAGCCTGGGCTTTGGGATATGTGCCCTAGTCAGTATTATTCCATTCGTTCATTCATCCATCCATCTTCAGAACCTCATACTCTTGTCAGGAAAACCCTTTATAGAAAGGCCCTCAACTCCACCATCTGCTGGTTCAGATCAGTTACCTTAGTCAAGGATCCAGTGTTACACAGGAATTAAACCTGATTAGATTTTATTTATCCAAATGTAATGATCATTTAATTAACACTGGCTATTGAGAGGTATGCAGTGCTAGAACGCTGGTGTCTCCCTACCATCCTGCATTGGTGTATTAAGTTTATTTAGTGTCATAGGACTGATTATGTAGTTTGTGAATGGTTCTGTGCTGTCGTCATACAGATCATGATGCCCAATGAGCATAAGAGTGGGGCCATTTTGGAAGAGGGAGGCAGAACTCACGACTACCGCTCAGAGCCCAACCTGGACCTCCCGGACTACAGAAACACGCCCCTCCACCGCACTTTCCAGTCCTCCCCGCTGCAGCTGGACACCTTTTCGGTCAACTCCAGGTCCCTCAGCCTGAAGCAGGCGCACCGCCGTGCGGACAAGGCCCAGCTGAGGGCGGAGGGCATGGCTGCCTCCTCCACCCCCTACAGGAGCGTCTTCTCCCCCGGGACGCTGTCCAGCCGAAATGGGAGCCTGTCCTACGACAGCCTGCTGAACCCCAGCATGTCCCCAGCAGTGGCCTCATCCGCGGAGTGCCCCGCCCATCCGGGAATGGCGTCGTCGGCAGGATACCACTCACCTTACCTGCCCCCGAAAATGTGCCACACTCGGGCCCCCGAACTGCAGCACCCGCCCTCAAACACCTACAGCCCGGTCTTGGGTGACGGGACGGGGAGCGGGGTGGGCGTTGGTCGGCAATCGCCCCGCCCCCGGGACCCCTCCCCGGTTCGCTACGACAACCTGTCCAAAACCATCATGGCCTCCATCCAGGAGCGCAAGGAGATGGAGGAGAGGGAGAAGTCCCTGCAGATGCAGAACCACCCCCCCGCCTATGCCTCTGACTCGGGGGTTTACGACTCCCCCAGTGGGTACTGCTACCCCGACTCCCCCCATGGCGGGCTGGGGAGGGCCTCCAGGGGCCCCACGCCCCCAGTATTCGGGTCGCGGGACAACCTTACAGGATACGCTGGTCGGACAGGAGCCCTTCGCTCCTCCTCGGCCTCTGTCGCCTCATTGGTCCGAGCCCCCAGGACTTCTAGCTCCTCCCTCCATGCCGATGTGACCAATAACAACACGCAGGCCTCCTACCGATCCCCCGCCCACCAGGCTCACCCCTGCCCCCCCCTCCCCCGCTCCCCCTCCTACTCCCTACATAAACCCCTCTCCTTCATCAGGGCTCTGGAAAGGACAGACTCGCCCCCTCTGGGAGGCCCAAGGTATGAATCGTAACCCTCCTTCACTCCACCCCCCTCCCACCACATCTGCCTGCCTCATGCGAGTCTGCATGAGCAGTGAAACAGGAAGTACCTGTTCACCACTTCCTGTCAGGGCAGGAAACCGTAGCTCCTTATTCAGCAGGAGCTGCTGCCCATCAGGTGGTATTTCATGTACATTTTTTGTTTTTGTTTTTATTTAAGTCAATGATCATGTGAGATCTGTAA